TTTCACTGTGTTTTAGAGCATCTTGATAATATGCAAAACATCCTGCAGCAAATAAAATTATAGGGTTGTTTAAAACAAAATTCTTCCATGCGTGCCTTTTAATAATTAAACAGTATATCTAAAGTAAAAAAAAAAAATACCATCTTACATATATTTATTTTGTATACATATATATATACAGTCACGTGCTACATAACAACGTTTCGGTCAACGACAGACCGCATATATAATGGTGGTCCCAGATTAGTACTGTGTAGCCTAGGTGTGTAGTAGGCTATACCATTTAGGTTTGTGTAAGTACACTCTGTGATGTTTGCACGACAACAGAATTGCCTAACAACACATTTCTCAGAAGGTGATGCATGCCTATACATATATAGTGATACAGATAGTCTCTGTATGCGTGTATATACACACACATACATACATACATTCACATGCACAATAGTAGTATATACAGCATATATTTACTCTGGTCTGTGATCGGCTGATAACTTAGCCCTTAATAAATGTAAGTGGTTGCTGTGTATTTGGAAATTAAAGAAGTGAGAAGAGGGATAAATGAACAGCTGCTCTGTGCTCAGCTCTCCCCTTGAAGACTTTATTGCCTACTGGGTCAATTAGATCTATCACTTGTCATTCTCCCTTCTGTTTTTCTGGTACCCCAATTATTTTGACCTGAGGAATAACAGAATTTTTAAACGGACCACTACAAATTAAATACATCAGTGTTCCTTCTCTTCCTTGTTCTCTATCATATTCCCTAGCCAGAAATATGTAAGAGGACAGGAAGATGGGGAATACAGGACTGTGCATCATATTTCTTTGAACTTCAAATGGATATGGACCATTACACATGAATGTGTTGCAGAGAATCTGGGAAGGAGCACAGAGCAGATCATTGAGAGCAGGAAGTTTTAGAAGATTCTCTTTTTTGCAAAATGAACAGGTGAAATTGTTACTGAACTGAACCCACATAATAAATGCTAACCAAGTCAGTTATTAGACAAACACTTGACTCTGCTATATACTCAGTATGACTGTCCTAGGTGAGATGAGAAGTACAGAAAAAGGAGACATGATCCCTGCTCTCAAAAGGTTTAAAATCTTTTTGGAGAAAAGACTAAGATGTAAACTAACAATTGCCTATGTGTTGCATCTTATTTTCCATTACAACAAGATAAGCCTCTGAGGAAACATCTACATAAAGAAGTAATTAGTTCAAAAAAATAAACTGCTCATTTTATATACATAGACTTTATCACACACAAAGAAATTTTCATCTTCAAAAATGAATGCCTTTTCTACTCCTGTGTCCATCACTTTTTTTAATTGATGTATTTTTCTTTCTATTGAAAACTGACAAAATATTTTTTCATTAACATTTTTGTTGTGACAGTGTTATGATAAAAAATTAAATGGCAAGTATCAGAGATTTATTATTTAAAACTTGAGTTTAGTCATTTCAAAATAATTGAGAATAGGGGGCAAAATAATAATAATAATAATAATAGAGAATAGATTTTTATGGTAGCTTTATCAAATCCTTTCAACAAATACATAAGAGAATGCAGCAGTTTAGAAACATTGTTTCCTTTGTGAGTTTAGCTTTTACGTTAATTTACATCTGTTTTATGGGTTTGTAAATTAAGTTGTATAAATATTATCTTCTCATCTATTAAAAGTTCCTATGTCTAATAGAATGTGGTAAAATCTGCCTTCAAAATTCTATTTAGGATATAAAGTAATTGACTTTGTATGAGATTTTAAAGAGTTGAGCAGAGCAGAATCTACTCCTAAAAGAAGATGAATAAAAATTTCTTCCTCAGTTGAAATTTAGCGCTGATTTAATAGTTATTAATTACACAATAAAAAATTACAAAAGTGACTTCTGCCAATATTATTTGGATGGTTACTAAACAAAATTATTTCACTCCTAATGTCTGTTTTCAGTTTTATCTTTTTTAGTTACTGCATGGCATTTTACAACATCGCTCTTTTTTTGCCTACTGTTTTCAGAGAAAAATTATTTTTATGTATGCATTATACTTCAATAAAGTTGACTTTTCTAAAAAAAATTGTGCAAAAACAGTTTAAATAAGTGTGTATGTCTATGTATTCCAAATACTTAAAACTAAAGAACTGAAAAATTTAACCCTTCTTTCTCCTCCATGTTCTTACTCCAGTCTGTCAGCAAGTCCAGCCATCTCCTTGGAAATGTCCTCTCTCTTCACTCCTGTAGCTTCTTCTCATCCTATAACTGTCAATGTTATTCTGATCATCCTTCTTCATTCTCTGCCCCATCCAATCCATTCCTAAGTCTTTTCATTGTGGGTGCTGTGGAGTGGATCCCGACTCCTAGTGACCCTATGTAGAGCAGAGTGGAACGCTGCCTGGTCTTTTTCCGCCATCCTCTCACCTTCTAGCACTGTATCAGACAATGCTCCACTGCTCTTCATAGGGTTTTCCTGGCCAATTTTTTGGAATTTTTCTTCCTAGTCTGTCTAGTCTGGAAGCTCCACTGAAACCTATCCACCATGGATCACCCTGCTGCTATTTCCAATACTGGTGGCATATCTTTCAGCATCACAGCAACATGCAGCAACCACAGTATGACAACTGACAGATAGACAGACTGTGATGGGGTTCCCTGACTGGGAAACAAACCTGGCCCGAGGCAGCGAGAGTGCCAAATTGCAACCACTAGACCACTTATTCTTAAGACAGATAAATTTGACTGAAAGATTCTTTTTATCATTGAAATCACTTGCTCAAAGGTATGTAAGGATTGCCTATTTCCTCTCACATTGTCTAAAAATCCTTTTACTCCCTGAACTTTGGTCTCTGCTTCAGAAAGAAGATTCCGCGTGCATACGTTCCTCATACCTATCTTTGTAGCTTTTCAGAGCTGTTCTCACAACCTGAAATGTCTTCCTCCTCTCAAATCATTAAATGAGTATCTGTCTGTGTGTATGTGTGTATTTGATAAACATAAATCTTACACATTGGTCTACAACTTACATATAGATTCTAAGAGACCAAATCTTCAATGAGTTTCCATGACAAGTATGTCTCCTTTTTTGTCACAAAGTCAAGGAACACAGTTTTTTTCTGCTGTGAAGATTTCCATGGTGTTCCTGACCAACCAGACATCTGAAACTTAGGGGAGGCTTCGATTTTATTAAAACTGTTTAAATCATCAGCTCATTTCCTGGTCTCTATGGCTCTCAATAATAACTACCAGCTCTTGACTCAATTTAATCTGCAGCAGGATGTAACCGTATTACATGAGAATTTGCTTAACATTGCCTAACTGCTATTTGATTTATTCATGCCCAAAAGGTGTAAGATTGGGAAGTTGATTATTATTGTCTTCATTTTGGGGATCAGGAAACAGAAAACCTCAAGACTGCTGGACAGATAGTTTACAGACCCTGTAAACTCAAGTTCACATTTTTTTCCTTAAACAAACCTGACCTCTGCTGCTTTCTAAGGAAACAAACCTGGTCTATTTACTGTATCTACATTTTACTGACCTCTAGCTGGTTAAGTCAGCATCTTTGCTGTACTCCAAATAGGTCAAAAAAGTTTGGTTTTAAACGATCTCTATGTCACTGTATGAGTTAAATTTCAGCTACTAGAATTACTACTTCAAACTCACAAACACACACAAAAGAAACTGTTGAGCATGCTAAAACCAAATACAATTTTATTTCCTAATGGACTGAACGAAGCATAAATATGACAAAGTGTGCATTAGACAATAATTATCAGCCTTCCTTTCAGACAAGATCAGGTTCTGCAAAGTCGTTTGGAATATAAATGCAAAATATGTTGACAAGAATACATTTGGAGAAAAGCAATAATAGTTACTAAAATAGACTATTAAATTATCTTTTAATAACTTTATAATAGCAATGTGATACTGTGAAAAAGCCAAACATCTCTAATAAAAATCATACATGTCTGATTTAGCAAAAATAAATACGATTTAAATCAGATAAAACTTTATAAGGAGAGCTGTAAAGTGAATTTATTCTGCTAGAATATCTGCTGGAAATAAGGAACCATGGGAACAACTAAGTTCTTTCAAATTATCAAATATGAGAACTATAATGAACAGGAAATACATTTATAACATGTTTGTGTAGAAGATAGAGGCAACATTAGTTATATTAGTTCATGTTTTCTATATTGATGCTTGATTTAGGATATTAATTGGATGTTATAAATTTTAAAATATGGCTTAAATTGGAAAGGGAATGTGTGTATGTGTATGTGTGTGTGCGTATTTTACTACCTAGGATTTTAATATTTATATCATTTGGTATTGTCTAGTAATATGCTTTATGTGCTAGCAGCTAATATTTGGAATTGATAACTCTAAATAAACTTACCGAAAGTAAAAAAATAAGAAAAAAAAGGAATGTGCTCATCTAAGATTACATTTGTGCTAGGTATATATGAATATATTGTGAGTCTAAGTGATCATGTGCATACACACAATTGTCTCGCTTTGGGACATACTATTCTTGAAAGTTGACTGTAGTAGATTGTAAGGATGATCCCCTTTGTCACACCTTCCTGTTTCCATCCTTTTCTATGTATTTTGTAGCATCCTCCATGGAGTGACAAGTGGTATAATTTCCCGATTCTGGGCTTAGCCAAGTGACTTGCTTGGGCCAACGGAATGTTAGCAGATGTGGTGTAAGCAGAAGTGTGAAAGAAACTTGCAAGACCAGGCTTGAACTTCTGCTGTTGCCATGAGGTAGTCATACTTGGCTTTGCTTGTTCATCCCAAAGAGGATGAAGGACACACAGAGCAGAGCCAAGTTGACCCAATTGCCCCAGAGGAGGCCAGTCTATATCAGCCAATTAGCCCTCTGTTCCCTGGATATGAGTGAGCACATCTGTGACCAGGCAACCCTCAAATTCAGAACTTGAGAGCTATTATAATAAATGATTGCTGTTTTAAGCACTGAGTTTTGGAGGCAGCTTACCCAGCAATAGCCAATTGACAGAGTGAGGATATCACCTCCCAGATTAAAATGCCCTTATGCAGAAATGAAGAGAAAATGGAGCAGCTGTCTCTGGAAAACAAAACCAAAGCTATTCTCAGAGCGTTTTTTGGGTTTCTGCCCCTCACAAGATTGTAGCAAAAATTTTCATGCTACAAATACTAAGATTAGTTTGGTCTGCAGTTTAATAAATTACACTGCTCATTCATGTGACTGTCAAAAAACACATAGTAGATGGGGCAGAAATTTTCATCCACTTTTTCTTAAATAGATACTCCCCAGTAAATTTTCACTGAATAGAATGTAACTAAGAAAAGCAAAGCAGGAAGCCTGAATGACAGTGACAAATGCAAACAATCCTATCACACTGTCGCAGGGAAAAAGTGTTACATTTCTGAAGATTGGACAAAGTGGACTTATCCAAGACTATGGCTCAGTCAAAGGGCAGGTTTCAAGAGCTACCGGAGTTCATTTTGCAATATGAACCCTGAGCACCGTCCTGACCTCTATCCTAAACCAGGCTTTCTAGTTGCCTTTATACTTTACGGCCCTCTGAGTGAAATTTATGGTTGCAGAAAATCTGAAGTCAAGCAGTTATTGGGGGTCCCTGGGTCTTAATATAAAATCTCTTGATATAGCCTTTGTGTTCTTGAGGGAAGTCTCATTAATACTGTATCAGAAACTTTGGATTAAATCTAAGAACTGTCAAGTCATGTTTACCTGTAGAGGGGAATCAGTCCAAATGGTCTTCTCTTTGACAATCAATGACTTTATCTCCTCTTCTCAGAGATAGAAACCTGTTTGAATGATGAAAAATAAAAGTAAAAATAAAATCTTCCAGGAAAGATGTAGGAAGAATAAAATAATCATAATTTTTAAAACTGATAGAATTCCAAGTAAATATGTAAATATTCCTTAATCAAGATAGCAACAATTAATCTTTAAACTAAGAGAAGAGACATAAAAAGAAAGAAATTTTAAAACAGAAAAAAAGAAGGCAATATAAACCAGTGGTTTTCTCTCTTGTTGACAATGATATACCAATCATGTACGAATACTGGGATAGATGACTATATAACCTTCTCAGTAAGTGTTTTCTTTTATTTCGAAAACAGAATAAGCTGTATGCTGAATATTTTTGCATAATATACATCTTAACTTTGAGTAGGGGCTATTTGATTATTGATAAAGTATGATTATGCTCTTTTATTCTGTAGGCGAGAAAGAATATTCCTCAACCCTCTAGGTTCTTCCGGCTGGTCCAAGAATTAAACTGACAAGAGATACATTAACAAGAGAAAATCAAACAAAGTTTAATAACATATATACTTGTGAGAAATCTGAAAAAACTGAGTAACTCACCAAGATAGTCGAAGTCATCACCTTAAATACCATCCTCATCTAAAGACAAAAGAAGATGTTGAGGTAGTGGTTTGGGACTTCAAAGGGAAGGAAGGCAATTCACATGGAGCTGGAAGAGCAAATGTTTGGCAAACAAACGTTTGCCATGCCTTGCAAAGACAATGAGACATGGAGAAAACTTTGATCAAATGGGCCTTGCTAGGTTCCTCCCGGTCTACCACACCTAGTTCATATTATGCTATAGTTATCTATGGTATTAGCTCCTTCCTGGGACTGGTCTTCTAAAATTCTTTTAGGCAGTTAGGGGGAAGGTCAAAGTTTCTTCCTGAGTCTTTTGTTCTTAAAAATAATCAAGCTAAAGAGACACATTTTAGGGTGGCAAATTCTCATCCCTCACAATTCCATTTCTTAACATATTATTGCTTCAATTTTTGGAAATGGAAGCTTAATATTAAAATAAAATGAAACAAATATTATATTCCCTCCAATGCTGTGTAATTCCCAAGTAACGTGAATCAAAGTCCTCAACTGAAGTCACAGGCTTAGTATTGTTAAATACTACATATTGCCAATTTAAAATTAATCTTATTTTGTCATATAAAATGGTTCAGAATTTTGGCTGTTTGCAAATATTATTGAGGCTACAATCTATTCATGACACACTTCAAAAATTCACTTTGAAATAAAAATAGGCAAAATTCTCTACAGGAAAATAGCTATGTCTCTCTTTGCAATAAGAAGTTGCTAGATTTTAGAAAGAAAGAAGGAAAAGGGAACAACAGAAACAAGTTCAACCTTAACAAATATTCTTTAGGGTCAATTACATATCCGTGGCTGGGCCAACTTGGTTCTTGTGATTGTCAAGCAATATTAGACTGTCCAGCAATTGTATGACATACAACAGACAAGTGTGATACCCACACATACATCTGAAATCATTTTTTCTCTAAGAAGGAAAAAATAAGAAGTCACAAAAGAGTAAATTCATTTATTTCAAAGGCTTTTAAAAGTATTTTGCACCACATATACTTGAAACTAGTTACATGTCTTGTCCCCCATAGTGACAGCAATCACACTTTTTTTTAATTCAAATACAGTTATTCTAGCATCTGAATGTTATACTATAACTACATCTGTGTTAGTACTTAGCATATTTTGTGTTAGTGTTTAATCATGAAGATCTTCTATTAAACATGAGGAAGATTCTGGATGATTCTGGATCCTATCCTAGGGATGTTGTATCCTCCAATAAAAGTCTATTGTTTTTGCCCAAACCTTCTAACTCCTTAGCTACTTCCAATAAAACCACTCAATCTGCACTTTAAGTTTGAATTTACTCACACAGGTCTTGAGATCAGTATTATCTACAGTTCACCTATGAATTTTCCATTCTCGGTCTTCCAGAAAAATCCACAGCCACAACAGCCCAGTCTATTAGCTATTGACTCACAATATGTGTTGCAACAAATCTCTTCATTAAAAACTGCTTTGCCACAGGGCTGGACTGGTGGCATAGTGGTTAAGTTAAGGTGCTCCACTTTTGTGGCCTGGGGTTCACCAGTTTGGATCCTGGACGGGGACCTACACATCACTCATCAAGCCACACTGTGGCAGCATCCCACATAGAAGAACTAGAATGACTTTATACAACTATGTACTGAGGTTTTGGGGAGAAAAAACAATAAAGGAAGATTGGCAGCAGATGTTAGCTCAGGGCCAATGTTCTCCCCCCCAAAAAAAATTAGACTAAAAGAAAAAATCTCCCTTAAAAAAAAGAAACTGGTTTGCCAGGCAGGCTTTGATTGTCATAATCAAAAATCACAGGTATAAAGAAATTTTAGCTTATTTTCACACTAGGTTCTGAAGATCACCTCTCTATTCCTGCCTAGGATCAGCTGGGGTGAAGGGAAATACAAATGACCCCACCAACCCCCTGCGCTGAATTCCCATGGTCTGGGGTATTTTTCATGCATTTTTTAACTCAGCTTTATTGAGATATAATTACAAGATAAGATTGTGGAAGTTTAATGTGTACCATGTAATAATTTGATATGCATATATTTTGTGAAATGATTACCATGATAAGGTTAGTTAACACATCAATCATCTCACATGATTGCCATTTTTGTGTGTGTGGTGAGAACATCTACTCTCTTAGAAACTTTCAAGTATATAATACAATATAATATTGCCCGTTTTAACCAGAGCAACATTACCTCTTTCTCTGACAGAGTTGAAATTTTGGTTGAAGAAAGTAATTGATTGTTTAAAAAAATAAGGAAAATGATTTTACCTAATTCAAGCTTTAATAGTAAATATTTAACTGATAAAAATGTACAACTGAAATTACACAATGTTATAAACCACTATGACCTTAATAAAATAATTGAAAAAATATTAGACAGTTTGGTTATAAATATATCAATATAAGCAATTTGTCATTGGAGAATCAAGTTTCAAAAAATAACACAGTTCTTCAGATGATTAAATTTATAAAAATTCTCTTGTCTGAATTGTCATTATTATTCACTTCCCTAAGTGAAAACATAACATATATAGATAAAGAATTCAATCAATTAAAATTAAAAATTTTAAATATAGGACATTTTGTATTTTCATTCTGATTATGTAACCACTTCAGTCATTATTTACCAACTGGACTCCTATTTAAAAACAATATCAGTATCTATATTAGCAATATTCTCCAAATATAAAATATTTTTTAACTTTGTTATAATTAGGGCAAGACAGACAAAAATGTAAACAGACAAGTTGTGAAGATCAGACAGACTCACCAGATTACAGTGCATAGCCAGGACATATTTAAGAAATAGGCATAATGGTAAAATTTTGAAAATCAAAGCAAATCCAACATTATTTACTAGTCATTAAATATCACATTTTTGATGGAGATAAATACTCACTATGGCAGCACTTGTGTAACAGTCTAGATGAGTACCTAGTGTAATCTTTCTAAAGTGTAACTCAGTGTTTTCACTTTTTGGTTTTCAACCCTACAGTGGCTTTATATGAAACTTAAAACCCAGAGTCCTTAATCTATTCCAGCTGTCATTATTCTCTTTATTTGTTTGCATAAAGGTCATGAGCTGCATAACGACGTTTCAGTCAAAAACAGACCTCATATATGATGGTGGTCCCATAAGATCAGTAGTATATAGCCTAGGTATGTAGTAGGCTATGCCATCTAGGTCTCTGTAAGCACACTCTATGATGTTCACACAACCACAAAATCACCTAATAATGCATTTCTCAGAACATATCCCGGTTGTAAAGAGGCACAGGACCATATACAGTTTGCTCTCTATTAGAATATAAGCTCTCAGGCAGCAATTCTCAGTCCTGGCATCTTCACCCCCTATATTCCTGGCTGGGCACCTAAATGCTGTTAAAAATATTGGTTGGCTGTCAGAATGATGGACTGACAGGCTGATAGAATCACAAAGAAGTAAAAAGACAAGTTATAGGATGATTGATTTATCAAACATTGAGTCAGAAAATGGAAGCTGGAAAGTCCTAGATGTATTTTTGAGTTCTCTTTTTATCAAATAATTTTTTAACACATGCTTTGCTCTTATCCATTCATTTATTCATTCACAAAATATAGGATAAGAACTTAGTTTGTGCCAGGAAATTTTCTAGGTGCTGAAATTAAACACTTTCATCATAACAGATAAGGTCCTTTTTTCCCATAGAGCTGGCTCTTTTTAATTTAATTTAACTTTATTATTTTTTGATATGTGGAGAAATAAACAATCTAGTTTTGGATAGTGGAAAGTGCCACAAAGTAAAACCAATTAATATTATAGAGACTGACTTAATCACCCCACCCCCATGTTTAGGGGAGTCTCAAAGAAGCGACACTTGAAACAAAGCGTCATGAAAAGGAGCCAGCTATAAAATTATTGGTCAAGAAAATATTCCAGGTGGTAAAACAGCTGGTGACAAAGCCCTGAGGCAAGAACAAATGTGCAGTATTCAAAGAGGAGAGGACCACCTGTTGGGATATTGCAGAATGGGCACTGGAGAGAAAGGTGTGAGATGAGTGTGGGAAGGAAATAGTGATGTACAAGCCATGGTAAGGGCCTTCAAGTTTATTCTACGTGAAATAATACACCAGTAGAATGTTTTAAATAGAAGAACAATGTGATAAGAATTGCATCTTTAAAGGTAATTTTGCTGCTACGTAGATAGTAGACTGAGGGGGCAAAAGTGGAAACAGGAAGAAAAGATTAAAGCACCGTGTTATTTGTTGTGACCGAGATGAAAAGATCAGCAACTTGCCGACAAGAAGCTTATAATCTAACTGAAAACCATGACGCCTTGCTCATCCTAGTAATCTATCACTTTAAAAACTAAAAGTGGCCTCTAGCTTTTAAGAAAATTCATCTGTGGTCATCCTTAAGGCCAACACTAGC